AGGTATGATTTGGAGTTTTCTGAATGCATTGAGAAATATATTTTAATGAAGGGAGAAGGAATATTTCAGAAGGCATCTCTTTTAGAAAAAAAAAAACAAAAAAAACCACCAAATCTTTAAACTCTGGAAGAAAATACCTTTTATCAAGTAATTTAGAAGTAAAAGTCTCAGGGCACCTGGGTGGCTCAGTCGGTTAAGCGTTCAACTCCTGGTTTCGGCTCAGGTCATGATCCCAGGGTCTTGGGATGAAGCCCCGTGTTGGGCTCTGTGCTCAGCGGGGAGTCTGCTAGAGATTCTCTCCCTCTCCCATTGCCCCTCCCCCTACTTGCACGTGCATGCACACTCCTTCTCTAAAATAAATAATTAAATCTTAAAAAAGGAAAGAAATAAAAGTCTCATAAGGCTCACCTACTTAAAAGATCCCTGCTTCCTAAGACATACACTATACAAATTAAGGCATAAACCCAGGGCTGTATCAGTACACAACCTGTGCAGCTGTATGTGGTGACCCAGACACTCTCGTACAAGTGAGTGAGAACTGAGGGGAATCTAGGCTCAGAATTATTTAGTTGCCCAAGGTAAAATTGCTTATTTATAGCAAAATTAAGGCTAGATGCCCATTTTCTGCAAATAGTGACAAATATGCAAGAGATATTTGTGGTCAGTGTGACAGACACTGTTCTAGGGAACACAAAAACAAGATGGTCTTTGTTCTTTCACCTTTATAGGTGAAATTTGTTTCAGCTCTCTTTCCCCCAAATTCATTAATAATTAACATGTCAATTACATAACTCCTTTCTATTATTAAAGCAAGTCTCTATGGCCCTACTTGGAAACCCTATTTTATAGAGGTAGTTACTACATGTACTTGCTTGAAGGTAGAAAAGTACTATTTCAATAAAATATACTGCAATTAAACATTTTCAAACATTTAGATTGGATTCATTCCATTTGTATATTTAATAATTCAGATTTTACAGTATTAATATACCTTTCTAAAAATTTCCTTAACTTCATAGAAACTTTTTTTCTTCATCTTTAGTATCTTTGATGTATTTTTAAGCCTGTATTCCCAAAATGTTCCTTGTTCCTCGAGTAGTTTGTCTTTTGTCTCTTCAGGGGCTCACTGAATGAATGAACCAGCAAGGAGGGGGTACGTCAGAGGCATAGGACTATGTGAGTGGTGTCTGAGGTCTCCCTTGATTTGAACCCTGGCTCTAACACTTACTAGCTGTGGGACTGTGGGTCAATTACTTAAACTGCTCATTTGTAAAATGAGGATAACGTCACAGCTTCCCATTAATTAAGAAAACGGGTAAGTCTGCCTGAATTTGAATCCTGGCATGACCACTGTGTATCCTGGTGAAGCTGTTTACCTACGGTATGCTTCAGTTTCTTCATCTGCCGAGTGGAATAATAATAATATCTATCACAGAGCATGTTGTGAGCATTAAATCAATTACTCTATGGAAAACACTTCAGGGTCGCCAGGGTGGCTCAGTCAGTTGAGCATCCGACTCTTGATTTCGGCTCAGGTCGTGATCTTGGGGTTGAGAGATCGAACTCCGGGTCTGGCTCCGTGTTCAACAGGGAGTCGGCTTAGGATTCTCCCTCTGCTCCTCCCCCTACTCTCTCTCTCAAATAAGTAAATAAATAAAATCTATAAACAAACAAACAAAAAACCCACCTCAAACAGGACCCAGGACACAGTAATAAAATGTTGGTTGTTATTACTAAATAACAATTTTGGAGAAGCCACTCCTGAGAGTAAAAAGGCTTAAAAAAAGCTTATACGATATCTTCCTCTGAGAGCTCTTAAAAACAAAACTTACCCAGAAGAAAGTTACCTACTTTGGATCAGAAACAAAAGATGGGACTAATGGCCTCTGTGGGTCACACACAAGTGATTCTTTTCAGAGACCTTCAAACATGTAACACAAAATTGTAAGCTGAATGCTTTACTAATTTGAATAGTTAATTAGGAGGAGGAAGAAAAAAAATATTTCATTTGTGTCATACTTAGAAGGATCAACAAAGAAACACAAAAGTAAGGACATTTGTTGAATTGAACAGTATGTTACAAGCATTCGTGTCCTGTGATTTAGTGTTTGCTGGAGAATACAAGGAGGAAAGGCAAACAATTCTGAGTTGAACACAGAGTAGCAGGCCACTGATTTTAAGCACATAGCACTGGGAGCCAGTCAAGGGACCCAGGAGGATGCGCACCTCGGAGTGGATGTGTGTGAGAGGTCACCGGGGAGAAGGAGAAACAGCAGATAGGACAGATATGCAGGCACTCATTTTCAAAGTTACAAAGTGTTGAGTATGCAAATTATCCTCATTATTCTAAATGGTTTCGAGTATCAACCTACACTCAGCATTTTTGCCTTAAAAGAAATACCTTCTTGACTATATAGCCAAAATGTTATGTAGTGGATCCAGCAGGTTGCATTGATATAAAAGGCTGTGGAGTTGAAGCAAGATTTAGACTGTAGAACATTAGAATTGGAAGCAAATTCCAAAGTAACATGATCAAATTTTCTCATTTTCTAGAGGAAAAGTAATTCCCAAAGAGAAAGCAATTTTCCAAGGACACATAGCAGTTTGGATGAGAACCCTCACAGGTTCAGTGCTCTTAAATTATGAATCTTAATGTTCAATTATTCCAGAAAACTGAGGGTTTTATTCGAAGAAATCCATTCTATAGAAATGGCCCTTCCTGCTATTAACTCGATAGCATAAGCGCTTAACTGTTCACAAAAGACTCATCAGATAGTCAAGGTTCTATCTTCCCTTATTCTGAGAACAGCAGAGGATGAGGTTGCAAGAGTGAATTATTTAAGAGAAGACAGACCAATTTTGAAGATTATACGAAGCCCTCGTGAGTTTTAGCAGCTAAGTCCCAGACCTTTAGCCACTCCCAATTCTGAGAATAATAGGCTCTGACCTTGTCTCCAATTACATTCTGAGCCCAAGTCCTCATTTTCTGTGTATATCACAGCTGCTTTTCTGACTTTCACTCAAGTTTTCTCCTTTCCACAAGGGTCAAAGAAACCAGTTTTGAAGAGAGCCGCCGGATGGGGTCCCGTGGGCAGTGATGCGGTCTTCCACCTGAGCGCCTCACTGACCTGCCTCAGCGCAGCGACAAACGTCTCCATGTCACAGCCTCCTGGGGCTGCCAGGGAACGGGAACAGGGCAGACTGCCACTGTCAGGTGAGACCTAAATTCCTAGGGTTTTACTGATCACGGGAAGCAATTAATGACATGGTGTAAAGGGAATCAAGCAAAACACAAAGTCTACATCCACTCCACGTATGGACAAAGGCAGGAAGGGGTGAACCACAAAGTTTTGTTTTGGGGGTTCTAGTATTGTTTTTCCTAACAACAGAAAGAGTTGGGATGTAAAATAATAAAGCAACTCGAGGAAAGGAAACCATGTGATGTTGGGAATATTGAAGGTGCTGATGATCTTTCGGAAAGCAATCTTCAAGAACAAGACAAATACATTGATAACTCCATTTTCAAACCGTGAAGTACTATAAATAGAAAGAAAAGCTTTCCTGAGGAACACTGGATGAAAAGTCAAGAAGGTGCCAAGGCCTTCTCAGAGGATCGTCTCGCCTTGTGAGGGCTGGCTTCATGGCTGGAGACGCTCAACGAACTTCGACAGAGCTCAGTGGTTTGCTAAACACACACAAACGTCTTCATAGAAGAAGACGACTTTATTTAACAGGAGGAGACCTGACTTGACTGTTGTTTTACTACAATTTCCTAGTAGGCATTCATCATCTTCACTCGGAATATTCCTGATATTTTTGAGGAAACTCTGGGAATTGCGCCAGATTTCTTATTCTAAATTATCCATTAATGTCTAATTTAAATAAACAAAACATAAAGAAGGTGTGAAATTCAAATGTCTTACTGCCAAAAGTGTCTTAGAAAAAAAATATATCAGGTTAAAAACCTTGATAAAAGGATCCTACATGTACATGACAAAACATACATCAAATTCCAGGAAGGCAGAATGTAAACAGTGCATTTTGGGCATGGTTCCATTATTTTCTGACTCTTGCCTTATCTTCCTTTTTTTTTTTTTTAATTTTAAAGATTTTATTTTACTTTATTTTTTTTAAAGATTTTATTTATTTATTTGAGAGAGAGAATGAGACAGAGAGAGAGATCATGATGGGGGGAGGGTCAGAGGGAGAAGCAGACTCCCTGCCGAGCAGGGAGCCCGATGCGGGACTCGATCCAGGGACTCCAGGATCACGACCTGAGCCGAAGGCAGTCGCTTAACCGACTGAGCCACCCAGGCGCCCTAAAGATTTTATTTTTAAGTAATCTCTACACCCAACGTGGGGCTCAAACTTACAGCCCCGAGGTCAAGAGTTGCCTGCTCCACCAACTGAGCCAGCCAGGTGCCCCCTATCCTTTTTGAAAGACATGTCCATTTCAGGCTTTGTTCTGTCTTTGCAGAGTAAGACTGGTACTGACTGAGAAAATGAGAGCTGCTTTTTACCGGACGCAGAACTTTGGAGAAAACTGGGAGTGGATGTCATGAGACAACACCCTTCTGAGTACTGAGCACATTGTTACAAAGATAGTTATGGAGAGACGGGGGACACAGTCAGAATTCAACATAATGAAACCCATGTTTTAAATTAGAAACTTTTTGAAGACAAGGCCTGTGTCTATTTCTCAACAAGCATTTCAAACTACATCACAGAAACGGATTTACTCCTTTATTAGTAACACACATATTAAAGAGCAGTTACCATAGTGTCTGATGTATGAATGCTTAATGAATACTTGCTATAATTATTCTTCCCATCACTGCGGGCAACTGAAGGACTGTGGGTTTGCATTAACTTTACAAATCTGTCAGGTAACAAATAATGGGATCTTAAAAGGTTTTTATATTATTAAGACCTTGAAGGACTAACATATTCACAAACCTTCTACAGCCTACTGCAATGCATTTTTGAGAAACGGTGTTTACCTTGTGGTCCATACTGGCTCATCTGTGGACCATAAGTCCCACTTGAGTTACTCTGCTGAAAGCTACTGATTCCAGGATGCATCTGGCCTCCAGGAGAAGGATGAGGCGACATGGATGGTCCTGTCTGTTGAGGTCCATACTGAGACATCTGAGGGTTTCTTTGTGTGCCTGCCATAAAACCTAGGTGGGAAATAAATGGAAATATATAAGTGCAGGTGACAAAATGGACATGGAATTGTGTGGAAAGTGGATGGGGGAGAAGATGGGTGCTGTGAGACTCCCCTAAAGAAACATCTAAAGGTGTCTCAACCCCAAAGTGGGTCCTCTGGGCCTCCCCCAGTCCTAACTCTGAAAGCCCATTAGAGTTTCTGCGAACCCAGTGGATCATGGGCTCGAGCTAGGGAAAGGAGAAGAGAGAGAAGAGGAAGCAAGCTTAACCTCTCTTGGGAGATGAGGCCCCTACAAAAAGCAACAGTAACACCCTGGCCCCCCTTACGCTGCCAGCCTTTTATTCCTGCCAGGCCAGACACGTTGTGAGCGCCCTCTCAGAGCCCCTGCACCCGATCTCTGGGATGCATGTCTCCGGCCACCTAAACATCCCGCCCCTCTTCTCAAGGTTGGGCCAGTATCCTGCTCCCCCCTGCTCGGAACTGCTCAGAACTGCTCTGCCCCCTGATCTCCTGAGTAACGATCCTTCACCTTGACTCCTAAAGTGCTGCAGACCCATGAACCCCAGCTCATACCACCCCTTACGGGTACACTGTGAACAAGGGGTGGGTTTGGAGCAGATTCTGCTATTCCAAAACAGAACTCTGACCTCCTCCCGCAAACCTACCATGCCTGGGGTCTCCCCGTCTCTACCAATGGCACCAGAACTCACCCAGACGCTCCTGTCAGAATCCCCTGACTCCCGGGATTCCTTCCTCCCTCCCCTTGTTCTCCAGGTATGTGCCCATCTTGTTGCCTGCGCTTCTGGAATGTCTCTCGGGCTGCTCTTCCACTCTTCCAATCCTGCAGATGCCTGGCCTGCTACCATCTTCCTCCTCAACCCCCAACTCTACTCAGCTCTCTCAGCCTCAACCACCACCCACCCCCCACTTTGCTCCTTTCCCTTACTTTCCACAAAGCTGCCAGAATCATCTTTCAGGAATAAAAAAGGAGATCAGAGCGTATCTTTTCTGCATGAAACCCCTCAAGGCTTCCCAGGAACCTGGGAACCAAATGCAAACCTTTGACCACGACCTGTGGCCTCCTCCGTGGTTAAGCGTTGCCGCTCTCACTCTGACCACATGTCCTGTGGCTCCTTGCAGGTAACATCAACAAAGCATTTTTCTCTCCTGCTCCCCCTCCTGAGAATGCTCTTCCACCTGCTGATTTCTGCTCACCTCCAAGTCCCCTTCCTGGGCTGCACGCCCTGGGGCTGCACCACCCTGGCCATTTCTCACTTGAGTTTCTTCACAGCGCTTCTCATAACCCGCCATCATTTTACTGTATTTGGGACTCACTTAGCCTTCCTGTGCCCACTAAAACCTCAGCTCCGTGAGGGCAAGGATCATGTCTGTCCCACTAGTGCGTCCAAACGTGGCAGCAGGGTGTCTGGCACATGGTAGGTTAACTATTTATTGAATGAATATTAAATTCCTCATGCACTCCACAGACCGCGGTGCACAACAAAGTAAGTGCTTAGCAGGTAGGTAGTTGTCCAAATGGATAAAGAAAATACATCTTTAAATGATGCAGGATCATCATGTCAAGGTATATCCACATCATCAGTAGTTTGGGTAAATATAAGCAAGTATGTAGAATGAGCCGTGGAAGACTCATGTAGACATGTAGACAGAGTACCCCAAATCAAGACCTGTCTCTAAGAAAAAGCTGACACCATCAAACCAGCATGCTAAGGAAGGGCAGTTTGATCAACTCCCAGAACCCAGGAGTCTGGGTTGGTGAGAGTTCTCACACGTCACGTGAAGGCTCCAGTATGCTGCCGAGTGGGGGGGGCTGGTTTATTCCAGAGGACCTAGAGCAGTCGTGGCCGAAGAGTCTCTGAGGCAGCTGGAGGGAAGATGATACCCAGATCCAAAGGCAGCTTCAACTTAGGGGGATAAATGAGGTCGGACTTTTATAAAGGCCATGGTTTATATTTCAGTTAGGAAAAAAAAAAGATCTTTCAACATTGCTTCTGTCTAAAGAGTTAAGATATAAAATACAAGTAAGTAGAGCTGTTCTCTATTATCCTATTCCATTTATTTATAAAGATAAGTCTTATGAAATTGGGCTCAATTGGCAGCTCCCAGATATAAATCATCATAGAAAATGTTTGCTTTTTTAAATCCGAAAACAAACAGAAATCAGAGCACTAAAATTACTATAAATGATTGCATCTTAAGATGTTTCATGAAATATTTATCTAAGCTTTACTATAAAATTCTCAAGAGTTTCATATAGAGTCCTGTTTAATAAAAAATGTGTTTAAATTCCATACAGATTGTGTGGGTTTGTCTTTCTTTCTTTTAGAGAGTGACTGCTATCTTCTTCATTAAAGAAAGTAACACAGGTCCTTTTCTTGGGCATTAAATTTCACTTCAACCATGAAAGTCTTCATGCTGAAGGATTTAGAACCTCTGATGATACAGTCCATCTTTGGGTTCCTGCTGCCTCTGGGACACTTAACAGGCTTAAGGTTTGTTCAGATGAGTTCTAACAATTCTTACCTGGGCAAGTTATTTCTTTATTTCTATTTGCTCAGTCCTTAAAAATATATATGCCATGTTCCATTTGAATTATCTGACTCATCACTGGCAGAAAATCAAGTTTGTGAAAGATTCCAGAAGAGGTAGAATATTAACGCAAATTCAAATGGAGTATGTCACAGAGTCAAATGCCACAACCCAGAGACAAGGTTCTATGGGGTATGGAATCCACTCTCCTTCCACAGAAATTAAAATTGTGAAGCTATTTTTCTGTGTATTGCTTTTGCAATGGCACCACTTACAAGAGCTTTCTGAAATCTCATTTTATGTTTTGGACGAGACTCATCTCTTTCCATGTATTCCCCAAGACAATGAAAGGAGAAGGTGACGTCACTTGCCTGACTCCCTTCTGAGCTAAAATCACCTGATGGCAGTCAACTGGGAACACGAGGCCTACAGTACAGTCTTGTTTGCATCGCTAGCTCAGCATCTTCTTGGGGAGACAGGTACGTAAAGAAACATCTTACAGTGGGCACTGATTGAACTAGCTGTGAGACCTTAGGCAAATCAGAATTTATCTGAGCCTCGGTTCCCACATCTTAAAATGAAGATGAGTGGTAAGATCAACCGGAATACCATGCAAAAGTGTTTGGTGCTCTAAAATGGGATATAGAAAAGGGACTGGATGCTACTTTCCTGCTTTATGAAGTGCCACGAATATCTTTCAACTCCTGAATACCCCACCTATTCAGATGTACCTTCTAGCTAGAGTGAACAAGCTAGCTTTTATACATTTTTTTATTTAAATATGTGGAACCCATGTTACTCTAGTACTTGTGTAACTGTCTACAAATTCAAAATATGATACAAAAGTTTAGGAACATATACATACAGTCGTCTCCCTTTACCTGCGGGGGTGGGGTGGGGTGGGGAGGGGAATATGTTCCAAGACCCCCAGTGGATGCCTGGAGCTGCGGATGGTACAGAGCCCTACATATACTAGGCTTTTCCCTATGCAAACACGCCTATGATAAAATTTAATTCATAAATTGGGCACAGTTAAGAGATGAACAGCAGTAACTAATACAGAATAGAACAATTACAACAAAATACTGTAATAAAATCTGTATGAATGTGGTCTCTCTCTCTCTCTCTCAACATCCTGTACCATACCCACCCTTCTTCTTTCTGGGATGATGTGAAACGATAAAATGCCCACAGGAGGAGAGGAGGGTGTGAGGGGTATGACGCAGGGGTTGTGACGTAGCATTAGCCACTACTGATCATCTAATCCTATGTCAGAAGGAGGATCATCGGGGCGCCTGGGTGGCTCAGTTGGTTAAGCGACTGCCTTCAGCTCAGGTCATGATCCTGGAGTCCCGGGATCGAGTCCCACATTGGGCTCCCTGCTCAGCGGGGAGTCTGCTTCTCCCTCTGACCCTCCCCCCTCTCATGTGCTCTCTCTCTCTCATTCTCTCTCTCTCAAATAAATAAATAAAATCTTAAAAAAAAAAAAAAGGAGGATCATCTGCTTCTGGAGTGTGGCTGGCTGCGGAGACTGGGAAAGTGAAAGCACGGAGGGGAGTGGGGGTGTGGAGGGAGGGACTACTGCATCCCTCTCTCTTACCACTGAGTTCCCCACGCCAGGGGCAATGGTTTGTAATGTATCTTTTTGGAGGTGTTTTATAATTTGTGTTTGATTTTGTATTTCTCTTATCATGAGTAACGGGGAACATTTTGCTTAGTAGCTGTTTTTTGTTCCTTTCCTAGAACCATTTATATAATTTGCCCACCTTTCTGTTAGTCACTCTACATCCTGACTACGAGGTATTTCATCTTGCAGATACAGCTTCTGTTACGCAACAGTGATATGGCTCACCGAAGCTCTTGTACCTGCAATCCGGGGGGAATGTGGTCCTTCACTGAGATCAACAGTAGCAAGGACCACGGGCTGTCTTAGCAGGAAAGCGGTATGATCTGACTTACATTTCTGAAAGCTAATTCTGTTATAACCTGCAGCATGAAGAAAGGACTGCAGGAGACCAGTGAGGATGCAAGTAAAGTGATCTGTAACATATAATCACAGTTACATGCTGGCTGTAATCCTACCAAAAAAGGTTTCCATTATGGACAGAACTGTATTCTCAAGAGGTTTCTGACTATTACCATAGTTTAAACAAATTGATGAAAAATTTGAAGACAAAAGTTGGCTAAAAAGGAAACATTTCTACTTTTCATTCTCAAGATAGAAACTCTGCATGTCTATTATTTGCATCCTCATCTGTAGAACAGGGGCAATTGCATCTACTTCACAGAGATGCTGTGGGGATTAAATGAGAGAATATCGTGGGTGCCCGGAACAGCGGGCTTTCAGTAATTAGTAGCTGGTACTACTACACATTCACAAAAGAAAAGCAAGAGCAGCAGCTCGTGAGGCCGCGAGGGCACCGAGCCGGGCGGCTGGCCCTGGCCTCCCGCGTCTGCCGT